AGAGGGAGAGGGAGAGGGAGAGGGAGAGGGAGAGGGAGAGGGAGAGGGAGAGAGAGAGAACAAAAGAAAGAGAGAAAAAGAAAGAAAGAAAAAGAAAGAGAGAAAAAGAAAGAAAGAAAAAGAAAGAAAGGAAAAAGAAAGAAAGGAAAAAGAAAAAGAAAGAGGCAAGAATGCTAATGATCAATATTCCTAAGGAACACAGATGCACAAATCCTTAAAAAAATATTAGCAAACCCAATCAAATGGCACATCAAAAAAATCCTTCCCCATGACCAAGTGGGATTTGTTCCAAGGATACAAGGGTGCTTTAACATGTACAAATAAAAAAGGTGACACATTACACCTAATGCAGGACAGATATCATACGATCATCTCAACAGACACAGAGAAAGCTGCTTAGAGGACATTATGTAGTCTTATAAATTTATATTGGTGAAAATAAACCAAACGAATTACACACCTTACTAAAAAGCTGGAAAATAACACAAAACCCAGAATAAAGAAAGATATTTAAAAGCATTAAAACAGGTATCAAAGAGTTTGGAAACAAAAAAGATGTATTAAATAAATAAAAGGCTGACTAGCTGACATTCAATTGCTAAATAGTCTAAAAAAGAAAACACAAGTTAGGAAAATAAGAAGTACAGTAACTGGGGGATAATCTCAAAAGCATGAAACTGAAACGATCAAGATTCTGGTTCATTCAACTCCACATTAATACATTTTGAAACCTGAATGAAGTAGGAATATTTGTGTAGTTTACTAAAATTAATCCATGAACTCTAAAGTCTAAGTAGATTTATTTTCACCAACTAGAACCATGAAAGAGCTATCCAGTCATAATACTCCTAGGCCAAATGGTTTCTAAGAAAAATTCTTCCAAACTTCGCCACATAATCTAGGTGCCTTTTTTGGTAAGTGCTTTATGTGTGCTCACAAATAAAATGTAAATAATATGTGCTTGTTGGGAACAAAGTTATACGTATAACCTACTAATTGTATTTAAAGAAAGGAACGATGAAGCTGCTTAGACTGTATTTCTTAAGTTTAAGAAATATTTTAAATTTAAAAAGTTAAGAAACCACCACCTCATCTAACTAGTTTTCTAGGGAAAGGAATCAACACACACTGTGTTTAATGGCCTGACACCTGTGAGAAGGTAGGACCGCGAGAAATCGGAGAAATTCAAATGGAAAGAACAAGGAGGAGAGGAGATGGGAGAAAAATAGGATGCACTAGAAAGATGTCCTGGTAAAAGCTATCACAGGCCAGAATAATTAGTTTTGATTTGTGTTGCAGGAGACACTGATCCAACACTGGCTGTATTAACGTGACCAAACATATATTTCAGGGGACACACTCTCATGGCCACATGGAAATATAATGGGATGCAGGGAGTGTACGGATGCTCTGTAACAGTAGTAGCAAAAGATACCAAAACCCTACCAGGCCTAAAGCAATGATTATTAGGCTATATAGGTAAGAGAAGAAACAAAGGAATCTACAACTGTGATATATATTTTAATAATCACAAAATATTTACATTTTGTCTTTTTTATAACTGATCTAACTTGACTCTTGAAATACCCCTTCAAAATAGGAAGAACAGACACAATATCATTAATCCAAAAAATGAGAAAATTGATGATTGTAATCCCAGCACTTGGGAGGCTGAGGCAGGAGGATCACTGTGAATGAGGTCACCCTACAAAAGAGAGTTTGAGGCTAGCCTGAATGGCATAATAAGACCCTATCTCAAATTTTAAAAAAACAGAAAATTGAGAACTAAGTATGTATCAGCTCTCCTCACCTAAAAGCACAGGTTGTTCTTTCCATTAGAAAAAGCCAACAAAGCCAACCCACTCCTCAGAGGGGTGAAATAAAATATTTCAAGAAGAAACTGTAGTAGTTTTAATCAACTAATTTAACTTAATTGCTAGTCCACATGTAAGTAATTTATGGTTATTTTCAAAAGTCTTATTACCTCCAAGGCAAGTTGATTTACTTTTGAAACTGTCACTCCAGGAAACATATCACTTATAATATTTTCAAAAATTGGGACATATTCAGGAGGAAATTTTGACAAAGTAGCGTCTCTTACAGCCTCCATCACAATCAGCACTTCTTCTGCTTCAGAAAGCTTATCACTGGTATCACTTGAATGGTGGAAGGAAACATAACAAGTCAGTAAGTCAGCTCCGCTACCATTAAAGACCCTTTATACTCCTCTGTAGAGGTGGCTTCCCCACTACCTGCCCCTCTCCCTCACGGCTTGCAGCAGAACGGCGTAGTAAAGCACACTGCAGTGCAACACAATGTGGGTGAGATTGCCCAGGGCCCAGCTCCAGGGCTGGGGCCTGACTGTTCTAGGACAGTATCTGTATTATAATTCTCTAGCCACCGATTCAGGGATGGACACTGTCAGAGAAATGTTTTAGTTATAAATAATGGAAATGAATTTAGGCTAATGTAAATTTTTTTTTTAATAAAATGATTCACTGAAAATCTCCAGGAAGACCAGAATGAGGCTTGCAGGCTCTGCAGCTTGGAACAATGACCAAAATCATGTTACAGAACTGTTCTTGTGCAAACACAGCTGTGGCCCTCCACGGTCCATAGCATAGTGCCTGTCACACTAACATGTGCTTGATGTTAGCACCAAAAGAGCTCACTACCTCTGCTATTCCTGGCAAGTGCTGTCACTCATACCATTCTTTCGTGGGTAGCAATACTGGGATTGAACCTCAGGACTGTCACACTGAGCTACTTTCCCAACTCTTTATAGAACAGGGTCTCGCTAAGTCACTCAATTGTCCAGGGTGGGTTTGAACTTGTAATCCTCCTGTCACAGCCTCCCCAAATGGCAGGATTATAGGCATATGCCACCACACCTAACTCATGGGCTCTATGAGAGGTATAGTGATGAAAAAAGATTAAAAAAAGAAAAAACAAGATTTTATGTACAAAAGTGTCGTCCAATCCTCTTTTCTATTGATTTCTGAAATTTTTCATCAGGGCATTTATAGGTTTTTGTTGTTGTTGTTTTGTTTTGTTTTTGGTTTTGGGTTTGATTTTTCTTTTGGAGTACTGAGGACCTAACCTCAAAGTTACTTAAATGTGTGGAGAACAACCTATCCAATGACAGCAGAATATTCAGAACAGCCCAGTCACATCTAGATTGGTGGAAAGTAGCCTTTAAAAGAGGTTTCTGGAGACATGTGCAAACTGAAGTGGTTACGGATTTCTTGCAAATTAAGGAAGTTATACACACAGAATTAGACCTGGAAGACAGAAGATGTTAATCCCTAAAAAAACAAAAGTTGAAAGAAATACCCAGACCTCCTAATGAGGCTCTGGTTGTTACTAACTACTTTTGCAAGAAGAGGGCCTAGTGCTTCTAAGTAAATTTAGGCTGCCCAACCAGGAGCTGGCCACAGTCAGGTCTGAGCAATGCAAGCAGCTTGCAGAGCAGATAAAATGGAAATAAATTCAGGATTTCTGGTAGGAGGAACGGGAGTTTTTGGGGAAGAACAACCCTAATCTAATGCAGGACTCCCACAAAATCTGATGTCAAGAGACTCTAAATGCAAAACCCCAAAGAAGTTACAGGGAAATGTGAAGTCCCCCCGAGAAACATGCGTTATCCAAGTAAAATGCCTTGGAGAGCCTAATGTATTAGCTTTCCCAATGCTGGAAGAAAAAACTTGGCTGTTCTACTGTCTTGTATTTCTTTGCTGAAAGAAACTGTCAGTGAGTCCTTGGTTGATCAGCATTGCATGTCTATATCTGTTTTCATGAGAAACCACTTTGAAGATATCAATATGTAATACAACAAGCATTGTTAATTCCCTACCACTCTGTTTGTAACTCCGTACTGTCTGTACTGTTCCTTTCCTATTTTGTAAAATGTTGTCTGTCTGTTAATATTTTCCTCCTTTTATTTTTAAAAGAAAAAAAAAAGAAAAAACTTGGCATGCACAACCTAAGGGAAAAGAGGTTTCTGTCCGCAGTCAGCAAGCTTTAAAGCCAAAAAAGGCATGGTGAGAGGGCATGGCTGAAGAATACTGCTTAATTCATGGCAGCCAGAAAGCAGAGACAGGAGGACCTGGGGACAAGAATACACCCAGTAACCTGCCTCTTCCAACTGAGCCCCATCTCTGAGGAGCAGTCAGCACAGAACTCATCAAGGACTCAAGGATACAATCTGAGTATTGTATCCCCATGATCCAATCACCTTCCCAAAGCATCACCCTGGGGGACATTAGATATCTAAATCATAACCTTCCACTCCTGGCCTCCAAAAAGCTAATGTCCATCTCATTTTATAAAGTGTATTTAATCCATCTCTAAGAATTGCAAAGATCTTAATAGTTTCAACATTACTGGAAAGACAAGTCCAGTCTCCTGCAGTCTCAGGACCTGGGCAAAATGTAGCATGGTTGGCCTCTCTAGTCCAGTTTCCAATAGTCCGTCCCCAACTTAGACCTCCTGAGCCTGGCCATTACTCTTTGAATTTCTATGAGCGTTCTGGTCTTCTGAGCTCTGACCAGAATTATCCATCAGACTCTGCTTACAGCTTTCTACAGCTTCTCTAGCTAGATTAGTACATCTAGTCTCATACAGTCAAGGACAGTTTGAACTGTGATTCAGTGAAGTCTGACTTCAAAAGTCATGTTTTTACCACTCCACTGTTGAAATAGGAGGTTTACATTGGATCACAACTGTGTCATTATGTTTCTCTGGGAATAATGTTTTTGTTTTGAGTGACTTTTAGCAGAAAGAGTCCAATATTAAAAGAAAAGGACCACACAAAGAAGAAAAAATTTCAGACTTCTCTGTTGGGAATAACTATGACCTTTTAATATTTTTCCTCAAGACAAAGCTTCCTTTATTAAGATGTTGATCAAGGATGACCAGTATTTATTTGAAGGGAAGAGTGTTAGGTACAGACAACAGCCCAAATGCCCATCAACCAATGAATGGATAAAGATGTGGTTTTTTTTAATACAGTGGAATACTATTCTGCCATAAAGGATAAGCTTGAGACATTTCTAGCTAAATGGATGCACCTTGGGTCCAGGCTCTTAAGTGAAATAAATCAGACACATGTTTAAATACAGCACTGTTTCCCTGGTATGAGAAACCAAAAGTGTAAATAAAGATCAAAATGTGTAATAGATATTGGGAAATGAAAAGAAAATGCTCAAATAGGGAGGGGACTCTCCAGATCTAAAGACAACCACTGTTATGTGCAAGTATCTTTTAATCCTAGTTTTTCATTTGTCTTTTGAATTCATATATCTTTTGATTATTTATAAATCTTTTTATTTATTTATTTATTTATTTTTATTTTAAAGATAAAAGGAGGGAAACATTAACAGACATACAACATATCACAAGCACAATACAGACAATACAGAGTTACAAACAAAGTGGTAGGGAATTAACAATGGTGGTTGTATTACATATTGATATCTTCAAAGTGGCTTCTCATGAAAACAGATATAGACATGCAATACTGGTCAACCAAAGACTCATTGACAGTTTCTTTCAGCATAGAAATAGAAGACAGAAGAACAACCATGTTATCTATCCTGTTTATTTATTTATTTATTTATTTTTTATTTTAAAGATAAAAGGAGGGAAACATTAACTATAAATCTTTTTTTGTGTGGCTTCTGGATATAAAGTCTTACTTTTAAGACTTCTGTACTCCAAGAATATAAAAGACATTCTGTTTCTTCAACTATTATGTTTCATATTTTTTAACATTTAAATTTTCTGATCCGTTAAGCGTTTATCTCATAAATGATGTGGACCATGGTTCCAACTTGACCTTCATCCAGGTAAGTGGTTACTTTTCTCAGCATCAGATTAACTAAAGGATCTATTCTTGTCCCCAGGTATATGATGTACTAAATACCCACTACATATAATCCTATTCCTGGACTTCATATTGTTTCAACAGTTTGCCTCTACTCATGACCTAGCACTACAGTATTTTAATTCAGTTTTTAGCATGTCTTCATACTTAGGATATTTTCCTTTCACTGCTCTTTTTAATATTTTTTTAAGCTGGTTTTATTTTTCTATATGAACTTTAGGATCAGCCTGTCTAAAAACAAATAAATCTTTTGGTATTTCTAATGAAGATTTCCATTCATAAATTAACATTTAAAATATTTCAATCTTTATAATGTTAAGTTCTTTAAGATGTCATGATGATGGTGTATTATTTCAGTTATCTATATTTTCATTTCTGCCTTTTGGCTGTGTTATAGTTTTGCTACATTTCTCAGGTGGGTAGAGTTATCCTTTGGTATCCAGTGGAACTGATTCCAGGACCACACAAATACCAAACTCTGTAGATATTCCAGTCCCTTATGTAAAATAACATATCACTTGCACATAAACTATGCACATCCTCCCATATACTTTAAATAATCTCTACATGACTTATAATACTTCATTCAATGTAAATGCTATGTAAATAGTTGCTATTCTGCATTGTTCTGGAGATAATAACAAGAAAAAAAGCCTGTACATTGTAAACAGACAAAATTTTTCTTCTCAAATATTTTTAATCTATGCTTGGTTGAATCTCTGGATGTGGAACATGTGGATATAGACAACTGACTGTATGTTCATAGAAGTTCTGTATTTTTCATGAAATTACTGTTCCTCTAACTGAGGTATTCTATTTCACTATATCTTTTATTATATAAAGGTGAAACATTTTTTCTTTAAAGAATAGGCTCTACTGGGGAAAGTCATTCAGTGACTTTGTGTACTTTTTCTTTCTCTTCTTTCAGTCTTAAGTAACTTCTGCCACAGTTTACTATGCTCTCTGCTTCAACTTTTACCATTACTTAAAAGTTCTACAGATTATTTTCCCAGTGGTACATGACTCCTTTCGATCTAACATTAATTTCAAAGTACAACTAACCATTTAAACTCCTGTTTCTTCTTTCCAGCCATTACTAAAACCATCTTCAATGACCTCAAGCCAAAATCATGAGCCTATCAAAATTAAAATACTTGAATTATTCAAGGCTGAAGAACCTCAAGGAAATTATAGAAATAATACTAATTTCTCATCATTTATGCTATGAAATAGCAACATGAATCCAAGAAACCTCAAATTTGAGGTTTCTACTCTGATTACTTTCATTTCTCACACAAATTTGTTCTCTTAAATGTCCATTTTCTTTTTTGGTAAGGTCTCATTAAATTGCCAAGCTGAACTCATTGTCCTACCTCTTAACCTCTTGAGTAGCTGGGTCTACAGATGTGTGCTGCTGTGACAGCAAGTCTCTATTTTTATTTTTTAAAAAAGAAAAATAACAAAGACAATGGTATAAAATTTCAATACAAGATTGCAGGACAGTAACAATGGTTAGTACATTGTATACTGTTATCTTCAAAGTAGTTCATATTACAAGATATAGGTACGAAAAATTGATCAAATAATACAGGCATAAATCTTTCCTTTCAATGGGCCAATAGCAACTAGTATAACTATCTGATATATACATATATATATATATTTTTTTTCTTTTCCCTTCCTTTTCTCCTTTCCCCCATTTCAGTTTCTCTTTCCTTTTAAGCAGTTTATTCCCATTTCACAATATCTACTGTACATTTCTGCAAGTCTTTCTTTAAAGAAGAGTAACAAGTGTTAAGAACTATCAATATCAGGGCTGGTCTGAAGTAGAAAGAGGAACTGAAAAAATATTGAAAACAGCACTTTGAAGAAAATGTGATTAGCTATCCAAGCCATGGGTTAGGAACAAATACTCATATCCCAGAATAATTATCAAATTGTGGTATTCAAATCAGTAGTATCTGTAACACTTTGAGAACGTCTTGAAAATGTGTTGGAAATGCAAATACAGTACCCCAGTTCCACATCAGATACACAAAATTAGGGACCTGAAGTAAGGCCTAGCACCTACGTTCCAATATGTCCTCTGAATTAAATTTTGATGTACAATAAAGTTTGAGAACATTTCTCTAGATGCTAACTTCCTTGTACAGAGAAAGCAATCTACAATTTGAAATGAGATCATTTTTATACAATCACCTTTAAATATTTTGAGAAAAGCAGTTCCTTACCTGTTGTGACAGCTGTTTGCTAGCTAATTCATAAAGGCAAGCTAGTTTTCCAGAGAGTGGTTTTGCAGATTTGAAACCAAATGAAAATAGTATTATTTCTGCAATCATTTGACAGTGTGGCACCACCATTGCCACTGGGCGAAACAAAGATTTTAAGTTTCTTGGGAGCTCTACTCGACCTCCATATCTTAAAAGGAAAAGAAAAACAACAAAACCCTATGACTTTACAAATTAGCACCACATCATATACTTTTACCCTAAATAATTCTATTGCCTTTCTAGGTGACCCTTATCTGAAAACTACAAGATGGTTTTTGTTGTAACTTTTATTTCATGGAGCAACCTGGCTTATCACATTTTCTTTCCATGTCTAAGCCCACAATTCACCTCACATCATCACCTCTGATTTCCTGGATTAAAGCAGCATTCAATCAGATATTTAATGAACCAGCCCAACTTTTACTCCTCGTAACCACTGCATTCTTACTCTCCTGTCTTTCCCATCAGCTTTTCTTCCTATGTCTTCTTTGTGACAAACTGATGACTTTTCCTTTTCTTTCTGGACATTCAAGAAGTAAAAATGTCCCTTGTGAGTGAGGTCTCACACACATGAGTAAATGCAGAGCTATTATGAAGTGGCTGGTCATAATTAGTGTGAATAGTAGGGTGATTGCAGAGGAGTGTGGAGATACCAGATAACTCCATTAGTAAGACTTAAGGATTTTGGTCTATGTCCACTCCCACCACATTCACTGATACATACCCAGGATTCATGGTGATAAACACTGCGCAAGACATATTGATAGAAAGTTCTTTTCCGTCCAGTACAAACCTATAAGACATTAGTCTTTATTGAAACTATAGTTACTAGGCCAAAGTACATTAAAATCACAAGTAGCAACTTTCTTAAGGCTGTATGATTTGTGTGTGTGTGTGTGTGTGTGTGTGTGTGTGTGTGTGTTCCTAGGGATTGATTTCAGTGCCTTGTGCATGCCAGGTAAGCACTGTACCACTGAGCTATATCCCAGCCCAGTTATATGACACTTAAACACAAACAGAACATACTAGAAAAATAATGATAAAATAGAAGAGCCTTGTTTTGAGCCAAAGTTGTGACCCTTGCTGGGATTGAGATATATTTGATCATGTTTAAATGACTTTGCGGGACTAAGGCTAGAAGGTACTTGTGTCAATGAGTTGATTTACAAAAGGAACCTGGAGAGACTCAAAGAACAATTGAGCTCTGCTTGGAGACTGCACCAAGAGAGCACATAGAATTTCTGCTTCAGCATGGAACATAGTACACTTCCCAAGTTTTCCCCTTCTCTGGTTAAAAAAACTCTGGGACCACTGTGATAAAAGGCCCTTGGCACAACATCAGTGTCCTGTAGTTGGCACTGGTGGTATAGGCAATGACCAAAGACAGTGGTCAAAATACAAGAAAAAGGACAACTGGGATAGAATCTGTGGAAGCCCTGGACATAAATCGAGAAAAGTCTACAGAGGCTGAATATGGGTGAAGAATGGGTGAAATGTGGTTTACTGTGACTTCCAGCCCTAACCATAGACTCGTGTGGGCTGCTAACACTAGCTTTAACAGTTTGAAGAGAATCCACGAGAAATCAAACAAGTTAGTGCCTCTTATCCATATTTGGGATAACAGAAATTTTGAAAGCACAAATCCATTTGTGTTCAAAAAGTAAATAATGTGGTTCCTTCAATTTATTGAAGAGAAAAAATAGAATCCTACCGGTATTATTAAATGGTAGTGACCCCAACGTGTGACTGGTTATTGCAGTTTTTCAGTAAAAGCACCTTCATCAGTGTAATAAAATAGGGTGATGTGGCCTTTTTTTAAAAAAGGATGCAGATTAATAATAAAAAAGGAACATTCGGTTTCTTTAAATGCAAATGAAAAGACAAGAACATTTACGATGGAAAAAACTTAAAAGTGGGAAATCCCATAATCACCCCACACGTGGTGATGACCCCATAACCACCCGACGGGGCGGCTGTCCCCGACAGTCTGGCGCCCGCAGCCACCTGGCGGAACGGCTATCCCGCGCCGCCTTCAGCGCCAGCATCTGAGCAGCCAGGGCCGCGAGGACCTCCGTGCCCAGGCGGTTCAACTCGTCCAGGCAGCACCAGGCGCCCGACTGCGCCAGCCCGTACACGAACCGGCCCACAATCTGAAGGAAGAAAAAAGATTACAGACTGGTTACACTCCTGCCAGGACATTAACCTGTGCGTTTCCTCCCACTGTCATCACCCTATTGTCACCCCCGCATCCCCTCCCCGTGACCCTGCAGGCACACGACCACCCTCCGGCCTATGCCACAGCAGTGCGTACGCGGGCGTAACGCGCGAGAGTACAAGTGCCCTCCTCGCGCGCAGGCGCAGCCCAGCCGGCCCACGGGAAACCGGAAGCCGGAAGCCGGAAGTCGGACGGGTTTCCGAGCGAGACCTGAATGGGCGGGTCTGAAGACCGGGGAGGGGGTTCCGGGTCAGACCCGTTGGGCTCCTTCGTGCAGCGGCCGCTGTGGTCTTGAGATCTACTGGTCTGTGAATGTCAGCAACAAAACAGACGGTGAATGCTGCAGACCACCTCGGAGCGGACTCGAGGGCTGAGACAGCTAGACGCCTGCCAGGGAGCGAAGCCCTTCCTCCCCAGGCCGCAGGAGAGCAGAGCTAGTCTTTTAAAACTTAACGTTTCCACGGTGGGATGGAGGGAGGGAGGCAAAAAACATGCACACCAAGGGGCAGGGCGGGGATGCAGCTCTGGTGGAGACCTGTCTCAGCTCAAAGCCTGGGCTCAATTCCCAGCACCGCAAAACCCACTAAATTAGTTTTGAAACTTGAGTTCAAGGTGTAACAGACAGACACAGATGCACATGAAATTGTAATAAACATTTTTGGGTGTTATGCCAGGACAAAACTGGCATAAACTTGCAAGTACTGTTTATGTAAACTCACTTTTTTGTTTTAATCATAGTAGTCTCAATGATATTAATGATTTCCTTCTCATTAAGTAAATATATAGGGTGAGGACTTAAATTTATATTAATGAACAGTATTCTTATGTTTCTATTCCATATACGGTTTTGTTTAAAAAGAATCTCACTGTTGGAAACTTTGAAAACCATTGCTTTAAAGAGTTCAGTTGAACTAAAATAAAAATACAGGTGTATAAGTGTTTTAAGTTTCTATTACATTCTATTTTACAATATTTTAATAGAATAGTATTTATAGTTCTAGTTGAGTGTGGAGGTTCCGGCCTATAATCCCAGCACTCCAGTGGCTGAGGCAGGAGGATTGCAGCAAGTTGGAGGCCAGCCTGAACCACATAGCAAGACCCTGTCTCCAAAAAAAAAAGAAGTATAAGGTCTTCAATACATAATATCTCTAAGATATTTTCATTCTTCAGTGATGTTTTATGTGTACAGTAATTTTTCCTGAGTATGTATGTTTTACCTTATAGTCCAGATCTTCAAAACAATTGAAGACTACACAATGTTTACCTAAAGCCTGAGAAACAAAAATATTGTTTTAATACATTTCTTGAATTAGAACACATAATACTAAAAACTCCCAAAGTGATAAAATGTCTTTATTAAATGTTTGAGAAAAAATTTGCAATATATTTGAATTAGATAGCAAATTTAGAGATTCACATAATTCAATAGTGTAAATGTACAAGGCTGTTAGAATATATAGTAGTTGATTAGTTTACACACCCCCATCAAGATCATGCTTACACAGGTCTACAAATACAAAAGAAAACATGCTAGTGTCACAACCTATGCCTTCTACTTTTAGTTACTACTTCTCTCACACAAACACACAGGGTGATGTTAACTCTTCACACGTTAGTTCACAGAGTAATATTCCAAGTGAATGCAAAGCAGGTGTTTGGCATATTGAGATCCCAGGTCCTCACATAATAGGCCTTCAAAAAACTGATGAGCTGTATGAACTAACAAATGTGTTTGTTAATTATAGTAAACATCTTAACAGCAGGAATGATGTAAATCTGAGATAACATTAAAATTTGTGTGACAAAAATAAAAAAATTTCTCTTCTGGATTTGGAAGCTACTTACTTTTGCTAGATCTTTAACAGTCTCCGTTTTTCCTACACCAGCGGGGCCAGCAGTACAGCCTCCCAGGTTCCAGTTCAGTGCTCTTGTAAGAGTAAGCCAGCATCGGTCCGTAAGAGGAGTGATGACCAGCCTGGGGGTACAGCCTAAGTACTCATAGCCGTAAGTGAAGCTAACATCTCCTTGAGACACATAACACAATCTCTGTTTTTCATTCCATTTATATTGCAAGTGTCTGAAAGCAATATTTAAATGCTTATATTGTTTGAGTAAAATTATTTTCACATGCAGAAACAAGATTAGAAACAGCATTGATGAGAAAACAAAAATCAAAATATAAAAATAAATGAAAATTAATATAAAATTCACCAATGTGTGTGTTAGATATGAAATTTTAAAACTCAGGCAACCAAAAGCCTACAAGCAAGTGCTTTGCTGTGCTGTGGTACTTTGGTGTGATGTCAACCCCAGGGGAGAACCTATACAGGAATCATCCCTGTGGAGTTTACTGTAGTTTCCAAAAACAGTGTGATTGGAGACATTGTTCATTATAATCTAGATCCTTGTTTTGGGAGGACTGGAGACAAATGTTATTTAAATATAAAAAAATTTGAATTTGGGAGAAATTGGTTTGTATTTATCCTGTGGACACTGTAAATTATGTAGCCAATGATAATTTTTCTCCTCTTATGGCTTTGAACTAAATCTCTAATCCACTTCATGGTATGCATTCTTTTTTTTTTTTTTTATCTTTTTGAGACAGGGTCTCGCTATGCAGTTCAAGCTGGCCTTAAGCTCCCTTCTTTGTAGCCCACACTGGTCTCAAACTCACAATGATCCTCCTGCCTCTGCCTCCCAAGTGGTAAGATTACAGGCGTGCGCCACCACGCCTGGCATGGATGGCAGTGACTATTTTATTACTTCATTGGTGCTAACTCATTTCTCAAATAAGCACACATTAAAGAATATTTTTGAATGAATTTTACATTGGACTCTTAACAATATCAGAAAAATGTTATGGGAATATCATCCTTGTACATCTTTAATAGTTTAGTGCTATTCTGATGTGTGGTCCAAGTGGAGAAAGGCCCAGCCCAGAGTTGCTAAAAGCCTCCACTGACACAGCTTCACCTCTGTTTGCATTTCTGTCTCTTTCTTTATAACACCATATGGTCATTTGTATATCCTTATTATAAAACCTTGAAACTCTTTTGGGAACAAGAGGACATATTATGAAGAAATCTTTAAAAATAAGTAAATTTTCAAGATAAAATTTGAAACAAAATTTTGACATTTTTAAGCTACCATTGACATTTTTAAGCTTGTAATTTGTACGTCTTAGATGAGAAAGCATAAAACTATAAGCAAAAAAAAAAAAAAAAAAAACAACAACAGAGAAAACCTTTAAAAATTAATTTAAAAATTTGAAACTTTATATTTACTGTTTAGAATCTTATGTTTAATCTCCTTTTCTTACCCAAGACAGTAGTTTTCTTTTTTTGTGCTTTCATATTTGACTGCTTGACACTAGGTGGGAGGAAGGGAGTTTCTGGGTTGGGGAGTTGGCTGGAAATGTACTTGGATTTGTTTCTCCAACCTGGTCTATCTCAGAACCGACAGCACAAAGGGAAAAGAACAGTCATGAGGCAAACCTCTCATTACCCCTGAAAACTGTTTCTGGCTGAGTAGCGCAAGAAAAGTTGCAACTACAGAGGAGCACAATTAGGAGAGAAAGGAGAAAGAAAGATGAAGGCAAGAACAGTAGAAAAGAATAAGCATAAGAAAATAGTGCTCCAGTTGATGCAGTTTGCTTAGAATCTCAACAAATTCCTGAAAAGTAAAATTTGAGTTTGACAGTATGAGGTAGAGAATCAATTTATTTGATGTAAATGTTTGTGAGAAGTTACTCTACGTAGTTATAGCTTAGGTCTACCTACCTTGTCCATTCAAAATCCTCTGCATTGAAGATATTTTTAAGTAGTAAATCTTTCACAATGTCTCTGCAGTGGACATAAAGGGTAAGCAAGGCACCGAGCACAGTTTTTGTCCGAGAATTATTAGTATTCAGCACAACCAGCTCTGAAGCTGCTTCTAGATGACCCAGCACAGTGGTGTGAACTTTTCCTAGCTCTTCTTTTGAATGAGAACTCACAAAACTTTTGATGCAGTCATTGTAAAACATGATCTGGCTCTGAGAAAAGTAAAGTATATATATATATTATATATACTCTGAGAAAAGTAAAGTATATATATATTATATATATATAATATATATAATATATATATTATTTATATATATACACACACACACATTTTATTTTAAAATATTTTCATGAAGTCTATGTGATATCAATGTGATACACCTAGAATATCTTGTCTGTAATTGTATTTTTTAGAAAATTTATATAACTTCTATTTTTTGATCCATCTTTTCACATTCACCCTCCCCATAGATACCACAGCTGTGTTAAAAAGGCAACTGGATAAAGGTTACATTGATGGAAGTTACAGGAGGGCAGGATATCTGGAAAGCTTGTAGTGTGTTCTGGCCTGTACAGTTGAGTGAACTATGGTTCCAGTCCCTCACTAAGATAGGACCTATTAGAGGAAGAGCAAGCTGTGGGATGAAAGGACATAATAAATTCATTTGGGGGATATAATGAATTTGAAGTGCCTAAAGTAGGGTTATAAAGTTATGCATATGGGCATAATTAGCATAGATGCAGTATCATAGTGAGATTTTTCCAGAGCAAGGTAAGACAGTACAGGACTAGAAACCTGGTATATAAATCAGCATTCTTGACTGCATGCCACAGAAACTGATGCTGACATTCATAGAGGATATTGTAGTCTCACAATTAGCAGGTTACAGGAAACTGGAAACTGAGGCTTGGGAAATGGGCAGGTGCAAGAGTCTGGGATAGGCAGCAGGAGCCATAGTCAGGGTTGAGTCTCAGTAGAATTTGTACTGCTGCCCTTCAGACACTTATTCCAGGTTCACAGCCTCAAGTGCGCATGCTCATTGTAAGGGTGACTGTGAACCAGATTTTTAAAATTTTTCATTTGTTTATTCATAGAGGCATTACTAATAACCATATCCTGGATAAATCCATATTGGAATTATCTTAGTGGCCAATGCATACAGACATCTTCTGTCTCCAATCCCTCAAAGGTGTCTTTTTATTTCCATTCACAGACAGCTCCTACTCATGTAACATATGCATAAATACAAGAGTTATAAATTGTATCCCAAGATGAGAAATTAGCAGCAGGAAGAGCAGACATGGGAAACTTTGGCAAAAGTACATTTGCTGACTGACTTTAGATGGGAGGAAGTTGTTGTCTACCTTAAAAGTATTTCTGGAAATTAGAGTACAAGGTTGTTAATGGTTTAAACCTAAGCTGTCCTCCAAAACTCTTCTTGTTCAGAGGTATGGCTTTCCACAGGTGACTGGATCAGGTGGACTCTAATCTCATCAATGGTCCACTGATGAGAACATAATCTGATGGTATTATTGGCAAGTGATGGAGATAGAAGGAGGGTCCTAATTGAAGGGAGTGGATTATAGGAGTGGGACCTCTGGAGCTACATCTTGTCCTTAACCCCTTCCTCTCTGGCTGTTTCTCCTTCTGCCTGCCTTCTGGCTTGAGGTGAGCAACATTCCTCTGCTCCACCCTTCTGCCATGATGTTTTTGCCTGGGAGCCAGCCAAGCATGGACCGAAGCCTCTAAAACTGTGAACCAATAAACTTCTCCACCTCTAAGATCTGTCCCCAGGATTTGGTCACAGCAATAGAAAGCTAACACAAGGTGCTTATTGTTAAACATATTTGGAGCACCGGCACCTGGGGAGATCTTTTCTTAGTATAGCAGAGTGTCTGTTCTTCCTTCGCTTATTTGAATTTCTGTTAAATCAGAGAAATGTGATCGGCTCCTTATACTCTTCTCACCTTTGTAAGCAACAGTTTAAACAACTCCTTCAGCTTGAGATCTGAGATTCATCCAGTCAGGGGGACATGGAAGGAGACCAAGGAGATTTGACCAGCATAATTTGTGTCTACAATCCCAGATTACCTTGCCAAAGACTTGAAAATTATTGTGGGTCAAGGCAGAGTAAAAAGATATGAAGTTATTTTCACATGGAATAGAGAATTACAAGTCAAGTACGCTTAAAAATACCTGATAATGGTAGGTTGTGGCAGTATGATTTCTACCTTCATCACTCCAGAAAAGCCAATGTCTTCAAGGTTGACATTGACACCCATAAATTTACACATAAAATAGTTTTCAGATCTGTTTAGAACCTTTAAAATTAGGACTACTCTCCTTTTTATGACCACTTAATTTTTAGAGAAAAATCAAACAATAGAGTCCTTTGTTAGCCAGGCATGGTGGTGCATGCCTCTAATCCCAGCATTCAGGAGGGTGAGGCAGGAGGATCACCATAAGTTTGAGGCTAGCCTGGGCTATGTAATGAGTTCAAGGCCATCCTGAACTACATAGCATGAGCCTGTCTAAAAACAAAAACAACAGCACAAAGAGTCCTTTTTTTCTCTGTTGACTTCCATGGCAACTGCATAGTTTTTTTTCTTCCTAGCCACTTTTTTTAGTCCTCTTTATGGGTACTCTTTCTTTTGCCTGTTCCTTAAATGCTGATGTTTCTTGGGGTCTTATCTCTCTTCTTGTTTTATACATTCTTCTGGGGAAGTTTCACCACTCCTCTGGCTTAAACATCTTAAAAAAAAACAAAGACCCTACCAAGTTTTGGCTTCTTGACCTCAAACTTCTTTTATTTCCCTTCACCTTCACCTTTGCTAGTGCAATAATTAGCACTAGCAAATATGCATTTATTGAGCAGAATAATGGATTCTTTAAAGGTATCCATGTCTTAATTCCCAGAACCTGTGAATATGCTACTGTACATGGAAAAAAGGGACTTTACAGATATTATTAAATAAAGATTCTTGATATGGAAGGGTCATTCTGGATTGTCTGAATGGCCCCAGTGTGATCATATTTGTTTTAGCTTTCTCCTCATTGAGACACAATATCCGACACCCACAATTTAAGGGAGCAGTTTCATTTGGTTTACGGTTTGGAGGATTCAGTCCAGGGTTATCTAGCTCTCAGGCAGAAACATCATAATGCAAGGGATGGCAGAGGCATGCTGTTTTCCTCATGTTAACCAGGAAGCAGAGACCAAAGGGAGGAGCCAGGAGAGGAGATTTACTCTCCAAAGGAATGCCCCCATGACACACCTCTGCCAAACAGGCCTGGTCTTCTTTTTTTTTTGGTTTTTCTCCGGTACCGGGAACTGAACTCACGACCTTGCGCTTGCCAGGCAGGCGCTTTTGCCGCTGAGCTAAATCCCCAGCCCAGGCCTGGTCTTCTAACAGCACATTTAGCTATGAACTCATCAGTGGATATTGCCCCCATGATCAGATTGTCTTCCAAATATCTAAAGATGTGATGTATGAATATATGGTAGTTTAGAGGGCCAGTTTAGATCTAAACCAGAACATATAAGATTGGAGAATTTTTTCCACCTGTTGGAAGAGGGAGCTATGACTGCAGGAGAAGTATCAGAGAGGTGCAACATTGTTAGCTTTGAAGATAGAGGAAGAGGCCAGAGCCAAGGAATGCTGGAAAAGGCTAGGAAATGGATTCTCCCCAAGACCCTTAAGGAAGAAACAGCCCAAATGTACACACTTCTACTGGACTACATACATGAAAACAGCATTGACTTACCACTGTGAGTACTACTTGTCCTGGGTGAGACATCACCCATAGGGGAAAGATCTGGTACTTCCAGTCTTCAATCCCTTGAATCATAAATCTATAAACAAAAATATCACATTATTCATAGCTAATCATTAATTGGGACCATTTAATGATCAAGTATGACAAGGCCATGGGGGTTTTTACTTTCAGATCTCTTACTGTTTTCTAATTTAGGCATATGTGTGATGTCAGATTTGCCAAGGGTCTAATCTTTGCATAGTGTACATTACTTAAATTGCGCTTTAATATTATGTATGTTTTTATGATGAAGCCATTGAATTTCAGGCATGGTGAAAGTATGTTAAATTAGAAGACACATTGGTTTTGAATTACAAATACTATCAATGGCAAAATGTGTACTTAAAATACTCTCTGCAAAATGAAATAGTGGGCTAAAATTGCCAGATGAATTTTAATAGTAATGTCTTGCATTTAGTTTAAAATTAGCTACAATGAGAGGATAAAATTTATGAAATATATTGAGACAGGTTTATGTAAGATCAAAGTTCATATTGTCAACAGTATATATTTGGGTATTATGGCATTTTTCTCCACAGAAATTTTTAAGTTTCTGTATAGTGGAATTGATTAATCTTTTGATTTAAATTTCTGTTCTATTGATATATTTTATAAATCCTCAACACTGGATTTTATTATTTTGTAATATTGAAATGGCCTTGTTTTTATATACTAATCTTAAATTCATTTAGAATTCATTTGAACACTTGAAATGAAGCATTGATTCTTTCAAATTTTATTGTGATTGCAAATCATATCTATTATAACTATTTTTTATTTACCATTTGTGTTGAAGTTAAACATGTAGACTTTTTTCTTGTCATTATTCTCTAAATAATACAGTGTGATACCTACTTATATGTCATTTATGTTGTATTAGTTAAGTCATAAGGAGGTGACTTAAGTTCTTGGGAGGATGTGTATGGGTTCTATACAAAAACAACACTGTTTTATTTCAGGAATTTGATCATCTGGATTTTGGGGTGGGAGAGGGGGTGTGTCCTGGACCAAATCCTCAGTGGGTATTTTTTTTGGTGGTGCTGGGGATCGAACCCAGGGCCTTGTACATGCAAGGCAAGAGCCACATCCCCAGCCTTCAGTGGATACTGAAATGCACCTTTCATCAATTAAAGTGACTTCATTTTTAAAGCACCTTTTGTTTTTTTATTTTATTCTCAAATGTAGTTTTTGTTTGCAGTACCATGAAATACTTTTACAGCTTTTATTCATAACTTCCATTACATTGCTGTATCTCTCAATAAATTGTTAAATTTCTTTGAACAAAACCTTTGCATTGAAATGTCATTTCATTCATATTTATGATATTTATTTTAGGTTTTATTTAGTTGTTTGCTTTTGCCTTTTTTTTTTTCTAATGTGGGATCAAACCCAGGGCCTTGCACATACTAGGCAAGTGTTTTACCACTGGGCTGTCTCCCAACCCTGTACTTTTTATTTTAATAATTATTTTGTTTTGTGTTTATACACAAAAACACATCCAAGCACACTATATTTCCTCCAGGGTTTCAGAAATATTTTTTCTGCTTTCTATAGACCATCAGGAGAAACTGGGTCAAGATTCCTAACTTAACAACCACCCTATCATCATCCTTCAGATGATAAAGATATATAGAAAAAATATATGTACTGGAAAAGACAGTGTGCTTCAGGTATGAAAAGCTTGAAAAATTTTTAGTAGGTGGAAACCAAATTCAAATCTAATTACTGAAAGAATGATGGAGAAACAAACAAACAAACAACAACAACAAGAAACTAATGGCACTGCTAACTCAAGTGAATGGGAGCCCAGAGCCAACCTTCAGGATAATTAAGTGGCACTACCAGTATGGCCCTCTCTCTACCAATACCCTGATTCCCATGCTGAGCTGTGGATAGCCATGCAGTTAAGATCCAGAGAAGTGCTTGGTGGAGAGCTCCTAGAGTAAAGGTTTGGCACTGGAGAGAGAAGCAGAGTAGATCCTTGAAATTGCTCTGGGTATCTTAAAACACTACAGAAAAGAAAGAAAGGATAGGGAAAAACTGGAATGTAGAAGGAATGAAGTTGTTACGGTTTGTGTCTGAATGTCCTCCCAAAGCCTCATGAAGTCATGGGGAAGGCTTCTAGAGGTATGACTGATTCATGGTCCACTGTTGGAATTATGGATGTGATTGCTAGTTTGCATACAATGTAAAGGAGGGAAAGAGGCTGCTTGCTGCTGCTGTTTCCCCCTTTTGCTCTTGTTGCTTGTGCTGTTTTTTCCACCACCATGAGCAGTTGCCCTCGGCCATGTGCCACCTTGCCTTGGAGCCAGCTGAGTATGGACTGAAACCTCCACAAACTGTGAGGGAAATAAACCCTTCCTTCCTTAATTCTGCATGTCAGGTATTTTGTCTCAGTAACAAGGGAAAAGTAACCAAGACAGAAGTAAAGGAAGCTGACCCTAGCACTGGAACTAGAAGCTCAGTGACAGGTGACAGGTAGTTTGCAATCTCCGAGAGAGGGAAAGGAGCTTCCATGCACTAAGTGACAAGCTGCTCACATGCCTTCTACATATGTGTGTGCCACAGGCCCACTGCGATCACTGCAGGCAGGCTGTTGGATTTAGAAACTAACATTTGCTTATAGGAGAAGGAAGAGGAATACACCAGTTCTACATGAGCAGTCAAAAATGACCAAATAGTCTAGAAAAACTTGTACCATAAAAAAGAGCACAAATACCTACCAGGAAAAACACTAAAATGAAGAAGTAATATCAGCAATATATATATATCAGCAAATATATATCAGCAAGTATATATTATCTATATCTATAATCAATTTTGACCTTCCTCTGAGGCACTCTTTAAGGTTTTATGTTAAGTACAATTCCTCTTTACTCAAAAACTCACCTTTTTCTTATGAAGAGATACTTTTGGTAATATTTTGGGGAGCCAGAATTCAACAAAATAAATTTGAATTTAGCTTAGAATACATTCTATTATCAGCTAAACTAACATTCAAGTATGAGGGCAAAATAATAGCATGTGCCACCCAAAGATGCATCCTGAAAAAAATGGCTTAAAGATACATACAGCAAATGAAAATAAACTTTAAGATATGGAACCTATAAAATAGTAATAAATGAAAACTGGGTGTGGTGGTGCACACCTGTAATCCCAGCACTCGGGAGGCTGAAGCAGGAGGATTGTTGTGAGTTCGAGGCCAGCCTGGGCTACAAAGTGAGCTCAAGGCCAGCCTGAACAGCACAGCAAGACCCTGTCTCAAAAAGACAAAACAAAACAAAACAAACCAGTAATAAAATTTAATAAACCTTGATAATTACTGACCCATAAAAAGAAAACGAACAGAAATCTACAATAAAATGCTAAACAATTTCAATATGGAGGTGGTGATGGGAAGGAATTATTAAGTGAAGAATGCTACTGGAAGACAAATTGCAGATATTTATTAAGTATACTAACTGTATAGGTTTCAATACAAATGTTTCACTGGGTATTCAAATTTTCATAGTACTCGCTAGAAAAAATGTAACTGATACAACTATGACAAAAGACAACGAATCCAACATCAGTAAATGAGAAAAGCCCACACCAAAGTATGTTTATTACAAAATATGCAGTATGGTGGCAAGAATGAGTCCAGTGAAAATAATCAGCGTAATTGTTAAAAAGACAGTATTTCAGTCACTACGCTGGCAGGAAGCAGCAGGTTCAAAAGGTTCCTTAGAGTTAGCAAAGGGACTACTAGTGGAGATGAGGACAAGATTAAGGAAAGCAGATGGTGAAGCACTAAGGTCTAGTGTGGGGGAAGCCTAACGGAGCAATGACTGACAGCAGCATCCCTGGACCTGGCCCCTCAGGAAAGGAGCTACACAAAGAGCTGCAGCTTTAGGTCCAGAAGGCACATCCTGCTCCACTCTAAGGAGGCACAGGGGAGCTGCACATTGCCTTACAGCAAAGTGGAAGGCAGAGGACAAAGAAATCTAGGTCATAAAATCCAGGGACATGAGCATCCTGAATACACACAAGACAGAAAAAAGCAGAGAAGGAACTTCTGAGCAAGCAATGACAGCACTGACAGAAACACCTTATATTTTTAAAAAATTAGAATTAATTTTGCTGGGCGTGGTGGCACATGCCTGTAATCCCAGCACTCAGGAGGCTGAGGCAGGAGGATCGTTTTGAGTTTGAGACCAGCCTAGGCCACAAAGTGAGCTCAAGGCCAGCCTGAACTGCATAGTGAGACCCTGTCTCAGACAAAAAACAAAACAAAACATAAAATTAACTTTATACAAACATACATGCCACCAAAATGTTAAACAAAACATGATACAAATGTTTGTGATCAAAGAAACAGGTATGATAATAGCATTTGAGCATTCAATGCTTAAAATAGCATTTAAGTTAAAAACTGGCATAAAACTAATGACTCTGACTAAATGTGCACTATATTAAGAAGGTTTATGTATAGCTACATATGGAAATATGACAGGTGTTAAAATAGTGAGAAGTTGGAAGATACAAAAGTTAATTGTTTAATAGGTTTCTAAGAAATAAATCAAGTGGAGCAAAAAATGAAGAAGAAAGTCAAGCAAAGTTCGACATCAGGAAATTATAAATGTAGCTAAACTAGATTTGATTTTTCTCAGTACATAAAAACTTGCTGTAATTAAACACATACCTATCATTATAAAAACCACACAAACAAGCAAGCAGGAGCTACATGGCAGCAGAGAAGGCCACAGTCATCCCTGTCCCACAGACTCACCAAACAGACTTGTGCACAGCAGATAAAAGTGGAGAAAATATCCACACCAAAATGGGACGGGGGAGACACACAGATTCCTGATTCTAGCACAGCATCTTATAATCAGGAAGGAATCTGGAGCTTCCAGCTTCTTCCTGAGGACAGAAGGTTTGGACAAGGTAGAGAGTACAACAACTTTTCTGGTCTTACCCAGGGGGTTTGGCCCTCGAATCACTTGGAAGCAGCGGGGACTCAGCACTAGAGTTTCCCTGAAGCATAAATAACAATCA